TGCAAAGTTCCGTTAATGTTCCAAAATTCGCCATTTTGACAGCAAAGCTGGAATTGTAACGCGTCCGCATCTGATCGACTAATTTCCACAGCTTTAACATTTCTAGTTATCACTAAATGTCATTAGACCCTTTAAATGTTGGACGTTTGAAAACATGTGGAGAAAACTTAGTAATCGCTTTTCCTTCGGGTCTTTTTCTTGTCGACGATGAACGTTACGTCATTCTCCGTATGCAAATTAGCCTTAGATGCGTTGTTTTAACAAATTGACAGGAAATATAATCCTTACATTTCACATTTCTAAGGGGAAAAATAACTCTCCTTTCCACAGAAAAACACAAACCATGACTTAGAATCGCCTTAAGGTCTGTTTTTTTTTTCTTTTTAACGAGGAAGAAGCAGCTGAATGATATATCATGTAAATATGTTTGCGTGGCTTAAAATAATTCAATTACTGTGGCCTGTCACGCATTCCTTAGTGGAGTGGTCGATTGGAAAACAATAGCGTTTTGTCGATCAATTCTACAACATTATCATCTTTTTTTTTAAAATGATAGTTATTGATAATGATAAAAAATAAGAGTTCACTTACAAGGTAAGTCCTCTTGTCAGCACACGAAAATTTTTGGGCACTCTTTTTTGCGTGCCTTAAAAAATAGCGTTAACGTCGAAAGCTTTATAATGATATTTGCTTATCAGGAGAAGGCAGATCTTTGTACATGGCACTATGATAAAAAAAAAAATGCCCCACACTTTTTCTATCTTAAATTAGCAGTAAATTTCAGTTCCATTCAAAGATCTTTAAAGCGTTTATCGGCAGCAGAATGAAACGGGAAAAATAGTTCCCTTTTTCAGTGAATAAACGCAAAAGGGAGTATCTTTCTAGTTTTTGTTATGGTATAACATCCGAATTCCAACGATGATCTTGTTCTGGTTTCAATCTGATTGAATTATAATGCTACAGTTTCAAATATAGTTATGTCAATGAAATCGCCGAAGAGATCAATTGTGAAAAATGGCTTTTTCGGCTATTTCATCAAGCAGTTCTTCCGCGAGATAGTAGACAGAGTGAGGTCGCAGTAGGGGTGTGGAGGAAAATGTGTTGGTCACAGAGTGCATGGATGATATTACGTCGCACTTAGCTAGCTGTCACTTGTCTAAGTTTAGCAAGTGTAGCAAAGACAATGAAAATGAACTCATTTTAGCGAGAGTACGTATTCGAGGCTTGGTGGGTATTCGGAACTGAAATGACAATCTGCCCAAGGCACAGAAACCTACTTGGCAGGTTTTTGCGAGCACCAAGGTCTTATTAGGCTCGATTGTAAGCCGCTGTTCTGGAAAATGAGCCCCTAACGGACGGGGAGACGGCGGAAATCGAGCCTAAGGTCTTGTCAATACTCCGGTCACACTCTGGATCATACTGGCAAAATAACTTCTGTGGCAGGAAGACATGTCGTAAATTTCCAGATAGCCAGCGAAATAAGTCAAAGTTTTGTTCCATCACGTAAGTAACATTCTTTTTTCTTCTTCATGCCTAAAAGTTTCTTAACGTACAGAGATATTCTAATTTCTCTATTTAACATTTTATCTTGAGATGTTTTCTGAAGTTCGTTTCCAGTTTATTTGAGCTTGCAAAGATAGTTTAGACGACTAAGGACGAGTGAGGTTTTTGTTATTTCTATTTTTTTGACAGCCGTGTATCTTGCCCTAATCAATTCTTACCTTTAAAATACTATACATACCGGTTAATCCGTGTGTTGTAAAAGATAGTTTTCTGATGATTGTTTGAAGAGCATTATAAATGGGAAAAAAAGAACTTTCTACACGGAGTCAGGATTCAACCTCGAGCTTTCCCGCCCCTGCCATTTTCTAAGAAGAATGTCCTGGGGACGAGGCTAGGAGTGATTGTGGTCGAGGTGTCGTTCACGTGTATGAAAGGTATTTCATTCTTGCAATAAAAATAATTTTTTTTGAACTTAAACAGTGTTTAAAACATGTCTCTGATTTTGTAAAAATTAGTGAGACTTAAAAGTACCTTAGTGTTCAGTTCAACTTTATATAGCCGATTTGCTCCTCCTGTCGCAAGAAACTTGAGAAAACTTGACGCCGAAGGGTCGAGAAGAGTACGGTTGAACAGTCAGCAACCATGTCCACACATTTGCCGGAGAGGTTTATTGGACAAGATTTCTCTGTTTTTCTTGTTTTGATAACGTTTTCAGTCTTCAAAAATGCCTCCAGATTGCTTTTTTTTTTTGTATTTATACCCTCTTGAACAATGTGCTCCATCTCATCTCTCCATTTTTAACCTACTTTACCATCCACCCTCTCTCCCCACTGTTCCACCTCTACTTTTACAAGCATTTGTACTTAAGGGGGTGAAATTTCTCCCGTGTATATTAATTTCTGAAAAATTAAGTCCTTCTCCTTTTTCCTTAAATTCTTAAACTTAGTTCTTTTTTATTTAAGAATCGCCCAGGATGCTGCTAAGGCTGCAATAAGCGCACTCGCCCTTTTATATACTTCATCTAGTGAAATGCCCATCCTTTCATATACCTGAAGCCTAAAAAAGATACTCCTTTCGGGCGGAACCTCCCCGTATAGGCCATCATAGGGAGTTCCCCCCACCCCCGTACCAATTCCGTGCTCACCTATTACCAGCCCATGTTGGACTCTAGGCCCGTTTGAGTCAACACGTAAACATAGTCCTAAGTGTATACAAGTTGAACTTGACCATAGAGATCTGTTGCAAGAAGACGAGGAGTTCGAAAGTCAAAAGCTTGTTGCAGAAATCGCTGAAGAATTGAGGCCTCAACACCGTCAACCAGAAACTTTCAACCTATGTGTATGTCAAAGGAAGAACAACCTAGTCAGTTCAACGTGGTAATGCTAAAAAAATATTGTGTCACTTTAAAATACCATTCAAATCCATGGAAAGAAAAGGAGACCGAACTGACAAACTTTCGTCTTTCATACAAGATTGCACGTGCTTTTCTCCTTCAGCTCAGGAGTGAACATAGGGATCCTTAATTTAGTGTGATTAACAGCCGGCAAAAACTTTTGGAATTTAACAGGAGACGGACCGTAAACAATAACTATGCCTTTTTCTGCATGCCATTCCTCATTTTTACTCAAATGTTGTTAATTGGCGATAAACACAATGCTCTGTTAATACCACCCTAAAGTTTGTACGGTAACCTATAGTTAGCTAGGGATCTAGGAAATGTGTATGCTGCTTAAAGGACTTTGCAGGTGTGGTCCTGTGGTGTCGCACGGTATTTCTGAAGTTGTTTGCGAGCTATTTCCAAAATATTAATTGCTTATTCTGTAATTAAAAATATTGTACTAGTGCTCGTGAATAATAGTGGCTGTGTCCAAGTGACTACTTTGTAGCTAATTGTCGTGTATTACACCATGGGCTATCATATTAAACCCTATCCTCATGGTGGCGCCCGGGGATACTGACTCAGTTAAAACGGTCGTAGAATGAATAAATACAACAGCACGGTATTTCCCACCCACTAAAGAATCGGAATTAACAGTGATTAAATTGTATGATTATCAATAACTATCACTTCAAAAGAAATATAATCAGATAAAAGAACTGATCGATACACGGCTACTCTCGGGGAATGCGTGACAGGCGATAGTACTTAAATTATTTTAATTCGCGTAAACATATCTTCTTCTACTGCTTCTTCCTCGTAAAAGGAACAGACCTAAGGGGATTCTAAGTCATATATCGTTCGTGTTTTTCGTGGAAAGAAGAGATATTTTCCCCTTAAAAATGTGACATATAAGCAATTATGTTTCATGTCAATTTCTTGAAACGACGCATCTAAGGCTAATTTGCATACGGAGAATGAAGTCGCGTTCTGATCGTCGACAAGGAAAAAAAAAACAAGAAAAAGCGATTACCAAGTTTTCTCCTCATGTTTTCAAAATTCCAACATCTAAAGGGTCTAATGATATTTGGTGATAACTAGAAACGTTAAAACTGTGGAAATTAGTCGATCAAATGCGGACCGTTACAATTTCAGTTTTGCTGTCAAAATGGCGAATTTTGGAACATTAACGGAACTTTGTACAGCGCGCAGAGAAGAGTGCCCACAAATTTTATTACATTAAGAAGTAGACTGGTCTTAGTACTTCTGATTTATCGTAGACTTGAGTCTGGGTCAGGTGCCACTTTTGCGAAATTACCGTTCAGCTCTAGTTATACAAATTACTTTTCCTGCTGAGCAAATTAAAGGTCATTTTAAAAAAATCATATCTCAGCCAACTTTCCACAAAATGCAACCATTAAACTTTGACACTGTTAATCAGAGTTAAAACTTTTTTTTGTAAAATAATCAGCTTATTCGGCTTTGTGAGGTAGGTTTGACAAGGCCCTAAAGTTTCAGCAAAATCGCACCACTTCTGACGGCAAACGGGCCAGTTTAAGGTGACCGAGAAAATCTTCCTGTAAAATGGAGAAAAAATTGAGTTGGTCCAAATAAATGTGATATTTCTTCATGGGATAGGATAGTTATCTTCCACTGAAAAAATCAAGGCAATCTGTGATACACCGAAATTTGCCTTATCGGTTCTTACGCGGACAGCCTCTTAAATATTTGAAGTTGTGGAAAATAATTATTGCTTCAACAAAAATATCAAAGAATGGAAAGAGTCTTGAAATATACGAAATGAATCGTATTAATTTTGAACTGCGGTTAAAGATATGAAAGTGAACATGATCTTTACAGTTTAGCCTAAACGGTTGAAAAATGGCCTCACAATGGCCTGCTCTCCAGTTGGCTTAGTTCAATGGATAGAGCATTGTGTCCAGTCATCCCAAAGGTCAGGGTTTGCTTCCCAGTCAAGCCTGAATTTTCATCTGCTAAGGTTGTTCTTTCAACTGCAAAGCATCAAGATCATGTTTACTTTCATACAAATATCAAACATATTCTCAAGTGTTATGTTCATGCTGCTCTTTATTACATTTAGCACAATGGTGGTAACAATTTAGTTCTTCTTCTTGGCAACACCAACAGTTCTGCCCTTGCGACCAGTGGTCTTTGTGTGCTGTCCTCGCACACGCAGACTGAAAAAAAGGTAAAATTATGGTTATGAGAATCAGGCAAATGTTTGAGGCAAGGCGGCAAGGCGGTAAAGAATTAAGAAACATTTTGAATGAATAATAGAACAATTACTGAATTTGGCTTTCATATGATGTGAAGAATATTTAGATCTCAGATGCTGCAGTGTACAATATGTAAAAGTTACTCTATCAGGGCTGTCAGTAAGAGGCCGAGGACAAGGGATTTCCCCTGGCTATGTTCATTGGAAAATAGAAGAAAAATAAAACCAAAATAAATCCTCAGCTATTTGATTCCATGCCTCAAGTTGCATTTACCTGGCAACGTGAAATCTTAGTGACAACTCCGCTAAAACGTTTAAAAATGCTGTGGCAAAATGTGGTTAGAGCATCCAACAAGTGTACAGGAGGTTGTGGGTTCAATTCCCATCTGGAACTCAGAATTTTTTTCTGTGTTCTTCTCTTCACACATAATATCATTTCATTTAAAATACAAATAATAAGAAGATAATTACCCCCAGTAATGACGAAGACCACGATGAGCACGGATCTTCTTCAGTCTCTCAAGATCTTCACGAAGTTTGCTTTCAAGATTGTTAGCAAGTATCTAAAGGTAACAAGGCATTGCACTCTTAAGCGCAGTTTATGAAATCATTTAAAAATAACTACATCACAACCTTCCAAGTTAATATTTTTCTTCAGAGGCCATTTGGCGATTTATAAACTCTTTGGAATTAATTTTAAGTGCCAGGATATACAGCCAAAACAATATCTGTTAAATGTAACAGATTTCTTATCAGTTCATTTGCACCCAAACAATTTTGTTATAAATGTATCTTGTGAAAGATATTTTCCTATAAACTTTTGGTAATGTAAACTTGGTTTACAATTCACTGAAAGAAACATGAACCATAATACCACTTGAGAGATAACAACCATTTTTTTACTTTATCATCACTAACAATAATTACAGTAACTCAAAATGCTGATAGTTTTTAGTTACTAAATGTTCAACTGCATTGCTTTCACGTTACTTAAGTCTACAGTTATTAGTTCCCTCTACATGTGAATCCCAAATACATGTATATAAAATGTGTAGTCCAGTTACAAAGACTACAGATGTACCCACAGAGATTGGCCACACATGCATTTCTTAGTTTTTGAAGAAAATGACAAGCAAAGTTTACTGTAATTTGATTGCATGCAAATTGTCATGCATCACAAGATCAAAATGTCATGTGCTGGGCAAAAGACTCAGTACAAAACTGCAAGTTTCAGCTCAGGTTTCATTGATGTGTATTTCAAAAAGCTATGCTTTCGGATTTTGTCAAGTGCTCGATTTAGCAGAAAAATCCAGAATAATAATAATTATTGATGTCGCACTCATCTGATCAATTAGAATTCATGTTTTTCATGTTTCAGAATAACTTTCTGAGCCTGCGCCACAGACAAAACTAAAATTATTAATTCACAGTTATGTCCATCCATGAAACAGCCCTAAAATCCTTTAAATGGGCCCCAACTGTGTATGCCATGATTCTATTCAATTTGCCAATCAGTTTGAAAGAAAACTTAAAATGTACTTCTGGTAATTCACCGAGTCCTTAGGGAGCCCAGAACAAAGATCTTGGTGCTGCTTCACAGACACTACTGCATATAACCAAGGTTAGACGATAGTACTGTACATCTACAACACAGGCTAAACTTCACTTGTATTTAAATTTAAGTGACCATGCTGCCTAAAATGGTAGCAACTTGGAGGGTTGCTCCAATTTTTCATATTAATTTCTATACCTGTGAGTATTTGCCATCTCTGATGTCCTTCTGCCTGTTAAGGAACCAATCAGGGATTTTGTACTGCCGTGGATTCTGCATTATAGTAATGACACGCTCCACCTGTCAGAGCAAAAATAGTGCATCATAATGGTCAATGCTTACAGCACCAAAATAAATGAGAAAGGAAACTTTTATAGCTCAAAGATTTCAAAGAAAATGATTATGTTGACGCAATATTTCAATGGCTTGTTGCTGGTACATGATCATTAAATCATTTATTTTACCTCATCATCTGTAAGTTCTCCTGCACGTTTCTTCATGTCAACATCAGCCTTCTTGCAAACAAGGTTGGCATACCTCCTTCCCACGCCCTGGAAATAAAGTAAATACATGTTTGATACCCACATTACTGTGAATTTAACAGGAACTTCACACTTCAACTATGTTGGGTCAGTACATGTATATGTAAATCAACTACTTCCTGGTAGGGCTGCAATGTTATGTTAGATCCCTTTAGCTACTAAGAGGAGGAAGACTAAGAGTACAAGATTTTCCCAACACTAAGTTTAGTGCTCGCAGCTGAACCAACAGCATCTTGGCAGGAAAATGTGATAGCCATTGTCATTCTACCATGAGTTTTAGCAAGAATGTTGCAGTGGTGAAAACAATTTAACAAATTGTAGAAATTTTACTGTGCAGCAATCAGGAGAGGGCTTAGCTGACTTCAATAGAAATAAGCATTCTAACTATTGCGGTGAAAAAAAGTACAATGAAGCTTTCTGGGGTGTCCGTTTCTAGGGAATACACAAACAAAAAAAAATTTAAGTTCAGTGTTGTCCTTGTAGTCATCCCGCTCCCTAAAATGTAAAGCTCTCTATTTTACCACAATTCAATATAAATTGCAATAAACAGGCCATGATATAGTACACGATATGATACATTGCTGTGTGTGATGAGCATAGTGACCAATTGTGAAGTTCAACCGACAGCATGTTTTGCTTGTGGACACACATGACTGTGCAACTTACAACTAACAACTGACATGACTATGCATGCATTTATTTGCCTTCTTTTCTGCCACTTTGAATAAGACAAAAAGCAAATGAGCCAGGGATGGTTTGCTTTTTCACCATAAAGTACCTTACAAAGACTATAAATATGCAGAGCTTGGAAGAGGAATATGTAAGGCAGGGATTTCACAAATTTGTCAATGTAGCATATTTGTTTGGATTATTTTTCCTGATAACTTGTTCAAAATTAAGACAGTTTCTTGGTGTTGTGGACAGGTGTAATCACCAAATGATGTCAAACAAAGAATTGAATTTAAGACAATGATCAATACTCACACCACAAAACAAGAGCTAACCAACAATAGTTTCCACAACACCAGGGAACACCCAAAATTAATATCAATATGTATCATCAAAAGAAATATCACAGTTTACCAACGCACTGTTGTGTATCACTGCAACTCAGTTGGTTTAACTGTACTCGCACACATCACATTTGACATCAACATGACATACAAACCATCTTTCTTACTTCAAATCAGAACCAAAAATTTTCGAAAGAGGGTTTTCACTCCAATAACATAATTCTAATAGTAAACGAAATAAATTGTAAATAACTATTCTTTCTACTGACCTTGATGGCGGTCAGAGCAAACATAATTTTTTGTTTTCCATCTATGTTGGTGTTGAGGACACGCAGAATGTGTTGAAACTTCTCAGGAACAACTAGGGCCTGTGAAACGAAGTAAATGTAATGGTGACAACACATTAGCACATTTAGTTGAGGCCATGGCAAAGAAGACTTAGGGAAGCAAAATATGTTAGCTTTAAATATGACAGTTACAACAAAGATAAACGATTAAAATCTCAAGGTTAGCTTTTGTATAAAGACCGATCATTTTTATACCAGTCGCTGTTCAAGCGTCATGTTAAAAAGTTTCCAAGAAAACAATCGTTAAGACATCTTGCTGTTCGGAAATAAATACACATAAGCGTTTATCCCGTTGAATTTTAACATAAATTCTAAGGAGTCAATTGTGCTTGAGAATCTAAAAAAGTGTTCCTGTTATCGCTGCAAAGCTGATTTAGATGTGAGTATGCGGTATTTCTAAAGCGATGTTACACCCTTTATAACGAGCAAACCCTCACAATAATTACACAGTACATTTTCTCAAAATTATTATATTATAACATGTGATGCGAGAGTGTCAAATACGGCTCAGACACAGAGATGATGGTGGATTCTCTTCCCCATTTTTCATAACTCACGATAACGTACCATGATGGCAGCCAAAGAGAACTTCCCTAATAGCATGATGGGATTTGTATTCGAGAAATTGGTACCCAGTCTCCTACCTACCGACGACCAAATCAGGCCAAGATATTTTTTGTCCAGTTCTCGTTTTATTTTAGTTTTGCTGACCTTGAACGTGAAATCCGGGCCACAATTAGAGTTTCATGAATTTTGTTATTCGGATTGATCGTATACCCCTTTTCTGGCGCGGTAAGCCTGTCGCCAGCACTGAAAAGCGCAGCCAAGCAGCTCCTCGAACTGATTCTATGCCTAACTTTTAGGTGGTATTGAACCGGGGTATTGAACTGGAAATATAATCGACATTGCTCCTTATTTCCAAAAAAGTTACCGAGTAAGCGGGTTTTTTCGGTATTGGCGAGCAAAGGACTGTATATTCTATGCCTAACTTTTAGGTGGTATTGAACCGGGGTATTGAACTGGAAATATAATCGACATTGCTCCTTATTTCCAAAAAAGTTACCGAGTAAGCGGGTTTTTTCGGTATTGGCGAGCAAAGGACTGTAACAAAGTATTCGCGAGGTCAAAGAGGTGTGCAATGGAAGGATCATAAGGCGTACATACACACGCGTATACTCATAGTCTTATAATTGCCTCCAATGTGAAGACCGCCGCAGGCTGGCGTGTTACTGCGGCTTTTAGGATAAAAGGGAAACAAAGCGCGTTGAAGAAAAATAGATTTCTAAAATGACCTCTTTCTTCAAAATTAGTGTTCTTTACAGTTGTCTCAATTATTTCAGCTCGCTTGATTTGTCATTTGTCAAACTGTAGGCTGAATTTGATTTGTAAAGGATCTTGCACACTCGTCGTTGTGTGTTCAACGGCTCTTTTTTTTTTTTCAAAAAGCACCGCAAAAGAAATTTCAAGGGCGCAAAATAAATGTACCTAGTTGTCATTTTTGTTGTCGTCGTTACATTTTTTTTCGTTGCCGTTGCGGAAGATACCTGGGTGTCTGAAACAGTGGTTCAACCTTCATTTACTGAAGTGTATTTTGCACTTTACGGTTTTGTTCCAAACCTTTCACATTAAAAGGATCAGGTAAATAAAATCATATAAAGCTTTATTTAATAACAGAGTAACTTTAACGGCCGTAACTTTCAGTATATAGCTGCTGTGAATTCATTATGTGTACCGGATAAACAAGTGAGGAGATTCATGCAGTGTTAACATCAATTGATATATTTGCAATTATACCAAAATACTTAGAAAATGTATTTTTAAACCAAATTTTCCGTAATGAAAATGGTGAAGAATTAGATGAAATCAGAACATATTACAACTTTAAAACAGCAGTCTGAGTTTTGCAAAAGGTTTATTAAATTATATATGCATTCGTTATCAATCAAGCGTACATCTTCCGGCCTCACTTGAACATCAGGCCCCTCGTGCTCCCCCGGCTGCCACAGATCGA